TTAAATTCTACAGCCAGCCTTATGCGGGTCATATTTTCAGAATTGATGTATTGGAACAGATGGGCTTTGCCAAGATCATCTCACACATCTTGATTTATGGAGGAGGTTTTGCCAGATGGACTTGGATGAGAAATTCAGAGCGGAAACCACCTAACACCTATCAGAGTATTTGAGTTGAATGCCTTGCCGTTTGAACTCAGAAATGCACCTGTCTGTTTCCAGTGACTGCTTTTATGGTTAGGAGGGCTGGAGCCATTTGCCTTAGCCTTTACTGACAGGCAGCATGGATATATTTAGTCAGGACACAGGTGAACATCCAAGACAGGTCCTGCTGCTGCAGAATACAGTCCTCAAAGGCGAGCATAGCATACAGTTTACTAAGTGCCAGGTTGGGCTCTCATTGCCCCAGTATTCAAGTCACAAGGTGGTCTCATGGGATAAAATATGAGTGATCAGAGTCTGGTAAGCTCCTGCAGATAAGAAGAAAGTCAGGTCATTTTGAACTGTTTGGATACAAGACAGGTTTTAGCATCTCTTGGTTTAGGATTGTGACGGGGTTTCTTAGTGCCTCTGATGCAGGCAAGCAGAACTGTGATCAGAATCCCAGGGGGTCAGGGAGCTTTTCAGATGACGAAGCCAGTTCTGATTCCTTTCTCAGCTTAGCAAACCCCTGATTTTTCACAGACCTCCATTCTAGCAGGTCCTGCTTTGGGCAGGCACCCCGGCCAGGCAGAAAGGTTGGAGCTCAGCCTTCAGTGGATAAGGGAGCACCTTTAGTAGTGTGGCCTGTGGTCAGTGCAGTCTGCTGTCCTGCTGTAGGAGCATCTGTCAGCGATCTGAGTTAACACTGACCACAGACATTTGGCCATTTCACCTCTTGGGCTGGCCAGTAAAACTTGAAATTGCTTGAGATTTTACAAAGCTCAAACAGCAATTTTCAGAAGGGGTTGTGAATGTTTCTAGATCCCCAAGATCATCAGGGCATCTTCCTGGATAGGAGAGGATGCGGAAAACTTCAGTACTAAATATTTAATGGGCACGCTGGGAGTGTTTTTAAAACACTGATGTTCTGAGATTCTCTAATGAGTTTTGGGTGGGAGCTGCATATTGACTTCGGGTTCCTCAGGGGATTGTAATGCACAGCCAGGGTGGAAAACCACAGCCAGGGAAAACCATAGCCAAAGAAAACCATAGCCAAGGATACAAGTTGGACGACTTGTATGAAGATGCGAGTTTGACAGTGGAGGGAGACGAAAGGTGGGCTTAAACTTGATCTGCTGAAAATAATAGTGAGGAGACTTGAGAAAGGAAAGAAATGGGATAAGCCCCTTTAAGCTACGAGCCTCTGGGGCTAATTAGACTAGAAAGCTGGTTGCATGGAGAACTTTCAGCACCACGATCTCTGAAGTGAGCTAACTGGCCATCCCTATATAGGGATCCGAACCCGTGGCCTTGGTACTATCAGCACCACACTCTCCCAAGTGAGCCACGGGCCGGCCCCTGCATGGAGAACTTTCTTTGCTTGGTAGTGGTGAATTCATTTGACAGTGAGGGAAAGGACAGGTTTAGTCATAGCCATTAGCATGATACTTGGCAGGGAAGTAAACACTGTGCTTATACCAAGTCTGTATCTGTCCTCCTCCCAAGGGCTAAGGTTGGGGATTTTCAGCTTGGTTGAGGACAGTGTTGATATCCAGTTCTTTTTTTTTTTTTTCCTTTTTGTCTTTTTTCGTGACTGGCAACGGATCGCAACCCTCAGTGTCGCGCCCGTACCGGACCGGGACCGGCCACGGGATTGCAACCCTCGGTGTTGCCCCCGCCCCTCGCTCAGCCAGTGAGCGGCCGGTCTGTATGTGGGATCCGAACCCTCAGCGGGAGCGCCGCCACGCTTCCCAAGCGGCGCACTATAGCAGTGCGCCACCGGGCCGGCCCAATATCCAGTTCTAATAAGGCAAACTCATAATCAAAAACTGCCTGACAAGGAGATGATGAATGAATATTGAAGTGAAAATAATATTATTATTAAAATAAAAAATTATGCAGAAAAGTTAAAAAAGTAAATGTCGGGCCGGCCCGGTGGCGCACTGCGCTAGTGCGCCGCTTGGGAAGCGCGGTGGCGCTCCTGC